CTGGATCCAGAAAAAAAAGCCCTTACTGTCTGTTCAAAGTGTACAGCTCTCGAAGGGAATCTCTAACAGCTCTTATACCTTTCTTTCTTGCCAAGAGCTCTAATCTGCTTCCCTTCTTCTTCTCGAGCTGCATCTTCATATTTTTGCCCAACGTAAGTTACATCTGCATATGCCAACAGACACGCGTCTACCATTTTATGAATAGATGTGTAAACAACAATTTTCTCAGCAATGCGATAGCACCTTGAGAACGGCCCTCTGGAAAATTCTGGTAACTCACTGAACCATTCCTGATACGTCTACTTTAAGTTATCCTATTTTAAACCCAGTAACCATATCCGTCCTTCCTCCAGCATCTGTAATGGATAAAAAGGCATCGAAAATTTTTTTACGAACCTTCGCTCGGTATAGACAACATCCTGTAGGGGATTCAACCTGAAGTTAAACACATCCGTCTCAGCATCTAATTGCTTTCCTTATTCTTTCATGCAAGGTAGTTCTAGCCTGTTACTACACCCAGACCGCATTTTGAAGCCTGCCTTGCCAAGTGGCTCCCTAAGCTATTCTCGAGCTTTAATCTCTTCATCGTTAATGCTCAATGAAGTCATAACGTCATCCACGTACACCTGTAATAGCATTATGGCTATTGCTAGCGGGTGGTCATTTATGTTACCTTCTGCATGTTGACTCACAACGTACTGAGCAAGATAAAGTGAGGCGCGGTCATCGAACATCAAGCTCCTTGCTTCATAGACTTCTGCAAGTCTAGAGAGGTTTTACCTCCACCCCCACAGGAAGGGGTGGTACCCTCCGTCTCTCCTTGCCATGGTAACTTGTGAGAAAATTTCCGTCAGGTCTGCTACCAGGGCCACAAGATAACTGGGGAAACGCAATAGCGAATAAAAAAACGTCTTGCTCAGCTTTGGTCCAGGGAACCTGCTATTATGGCTCATTCCCCTGTATAGGGTTACTGAATAGTAGACTATCCTCCCTTTCGTAGTCTCTTTGTCTTCTCTCACTACATGAGAAAATGAGGTGGGTACCAACTGGATGTAATTCGGATGTAACCCTTGGATTCATTCCTTTATACCTTGGCTTCTATCACCTGGCAGTATTTCTCAGCAACCCCCAGCCTTGCCTAAGCGTGTTTCTCAAGAGATAAGTCGGTCTTCAGCAGTCTTTCTGTTTGAACACAACGGCGTATCATCGTCCTTCCATGGAATTGCTACTTCAGAGTCCATTAACATAACGCCTTGATTGTGCCTCTTTGCGCGCAGCAAGCACCTCCTCTGCTGTCAAGCGCTTGTTTTGATCAGCAATTCCCACAACGTCTTCGTCCCACATCTTCTGCATTATCTCATCGGCCCCCATTTCTGGAGTAAAAGTCGCATGGTATATGTGTAAACATGGCAAGCCTCGCGACACTCGTTTGCTTCATCCGAGACATTTCCAACTATTGTCTACGCGAGTGGTTTTCCTTACTTTATTTATTTTATTTTATTTTATTATTTTGCCACACACAATGAATTACAAGCAGAACAAAAACGATAATAAATAGGTTAATTAACATTAAATTTAAAATTTGTGCATTACTTGGGAGGAGTGACTGTGGTGTGGAAATCTCCGAGAAGCCGAGCTTATGAGGAATAGAGATATGCCCCCACGGGCAATTTAAATACTAGGCGGCATTTTAAGACTAAATAAAGAAAAAAGTCGTTTATTTAAGTATATAAGTGTGTTTAGAGGAAAATATAGATATGAGGTGTTAAGGTATTTAGGTTGCATTCTGTCTGACCCTTAAAAATGGTTTGATCACACGCCTTAATGTACTAAAAGACGGGGCATTTTTGATGTCGTTTGGTAATGAATTCCATATTCTTGACCTTGAAACAGGATCGAAAATTTTTTAATATTTGTTCTACAGGTAGGAGGTCGGTAAAAGTCAGAGTATCTTGTTGAATATTGATGAATCTGGTTCCCAGTTTGAAACATTTGAGTAAAAGAAATAGGTAAAGCATCATTATGATATAGGTACATCTCTTACACGCTCCCCCAGATGTCTTTTGAGATATTTAAGTGGTAAAATGAGTTCCACATAATAATCACTTCTCAATCAACTTCTACATGTTGAACTGGCTTTATGATCTCCAGGTCGCGATTATGATCTAATTTCTTGCATTGACGGAACAATCAATTGCTTTCATTTCACAAATTTCCACACACACACACACACACACACAAAAGCTTGCTTCTTGTTGCTCCCATTCATACCCTTAAGGCTGGCGGAAAGTTACAGTTTGGGGATCCGTTAAATTCGACTTCGCTCCAAAAGCAGCAACACAGAGTGCGTACAAACTCAGTATATCAGCGATCTCCTCTTGAGGAAGGACGACCCAGACCCACGATCAATATGGTGGCTATCATCTGCAGCTCTACCCTTTCAGGGCATCCTTTACTTACAGTTGATTCTTCCAGGTTTCATACAATGTCAGTACATGTTTTTCTAAGCTCACAAAACATTACATGAGTCTTCGCATGTTCTTTCTGAGCCACTTCGATTTGTTTTAATTTGACTTGGGTTTCTCTTGTTCAGGATTCTCTATATTACTAAAGCAACCAAAGGCTATCACTTCGACTTGACTCTCGGTTTCAGCCACTCATCTAGGTCGCTAAGGTCAACTTATTTGGGCTGTAGCTTTAACTTTTGGCTGCTTCACCTTACTGCAATTTTTGGAGGTAGCTTTGTAACAATTTGCTGCATATTAGTTGCTGGTCTAAAGCCTGCTCCATGAATGATCTCACAATGTTGCGCGAGATGTAAAATTGGTTTCATCCAGATTTGCTGATATCTCCAGGAACTTGTTGATCTGTGACTTTGAAATTAGAGCTTGGTTTCCAAATCGTTCAGTCAGCTTTTCATACTACTGCACAAAAGACTTATCTTTTGGACGTTCAGGGACTAAGTAATTTCGCGGCACGCCATACGCATCTGCTCCGATAAATGCTAGAAACGTAACAACTTTGTAATCCGCCTTGACATAATTCGCCCCAAAATACAATTCCACTCTTTCGATATAACTTGCAATATCTTCTTTACCTTTCACATCCTCTTCAACTTGACCTACAAACGCCATCCTCGTCGCCAAAATTGTAATATTCTGGTCTTAAACAACAACACCAAACGAACCATGATTTGCCAGTCATTCTTGTAATGCAACTGCGCATGTGCAAAACCTGCCCTAACATATAAGCGGTCTGGAACCTAATATATTACTCAACCCAGATGCTGGATTCTGATTCGGCTATTGTATGATGTGAAACGATTATTCAGATAAAGGAGGGTGTAACGATTCGCCGTCCCCTGCGTGGGCATCGCGACAGAGTTACTGTCTGGCACCTAGTAATAAATAGCCGCACGAGTAGAAATATAATTTATCTTATAGTTATTTCAAAAACAGAAGTAAACTTTACAGTCCTATCGCCCTATCCGTTTAAAAGGAAATTTCAAGAGCGCGTATTTATGGAATTCGCAGTCCACCTGTTTCGGTAGAGTACGACTTTTCCTGCCCTATTCACAGAACTGAAGGCGGATGATTTAAAACAATAGCAAAAACAAAAATATCAAAAACTCATGCACGAACATATAATTTCAGACCCTGTATCCAAACGGCGTAAACCTTTCCCTGTTTCAGACCCAAATGCTTTTAAACAAAGGGAGTACCCTCTCACCAAAACAAATGGGCTATGACGTCATGGTTTGCTGGTTCATTTTGATAATATTGCCAAATATGTCCTTATTCTCAATGGAACTCAGCGTAAGTTAAGAAATCACTTGCAAATGACAAAATCATTGCTTCATGTCAAACAGATTTGTTCCCCAAACATTATATGAAAAGTTACAGAGCAAAAAAAAAAAATTTTGAAAAACGTTTAGGCTATTTGAGTTTCAAAAACCTCAGTGTTAACGTAGGAAAAGAACTATTCAAGGAATTTTTATATCTAATCTAGCAGGCAAAAATAAGAAAAACCGTAAACGCCCAACAGGAACCACAAAAGTACCCGCTTTGTTCGAGTTTTTATAAGTTTTTTACCGACCGCCGTATTGCAAGGATCAAAGGGTTAACAGTTTACCTGCTACCCGGACCGATTTAATGCTTATTCAAGGACATTTTAGAAAACAGTCGCCATAGAAGTAAGTGAACTGTATGTTACCTTGGTTTTGTTAATTTAGTCCGTTCTTTCGTTTCCTTTTAAACAGAGTTGAAGTAGCTTAAATTGAGTTGGTTTCAAGAACCACGTGATTTCGCTTGTATAAACTTTTTGCTTTTATCGCTTTTTCATAGTTTCATGTGTCAATTATTTGATTACACTTTTTCAATAAGACATACTTGTACAATTTGATTTCAGATCGAATGAAATTACTGTTATACAATTGCCAGTTATTCTTCGGATTGGATTCTCCGTTTTCTAATGAAACACTCAGTTGCAATCAGTTTCAACCCTGAGCTTGTCCGCACATGACATGACTCCTTTTGCATTTGCTGGGTTAGTGTTCCTTATAAGAGGCTAATAGGGATGTGCCGCTGGTTGGGGTCCCATTTTCAAGACTGAATTGAATAAAACGGGGTCGCACATTTTCGGATTTTTTTGGGTAAGACAGTTCTCTATATTTATGGTTAGCAAACGTACCAGAATGTTTGTACTGCAGATGAAAAGTAAAGTGTTTTTCATTCCATCTAAAAATGGGTCAATTCATAAAAATAAAAAGCGACTAAGTTGGGATCGCGAAAATTACACATTTGTCCAAAAGTGACTAAGATGCAGTTTATAATTGTCCATATAATAGACTATAATGGGGTAGGGTCTCTGAGAGGCCAGCCGTACGTACCCAGCAAAAATTTACCCAAGTAAGCCCCCCTCCGGGCTTTTGAGCGGTTATTTTTATGTTTCACTCAATTTGGTGGCCTTTTCCACTTTTTGAATTTTGATAAATTTCGTGACACAAGACCTTTAGATATCACAGGAGTATCAGTACCTTCTTCTGAAGGAGGAAATACTTTCAACTTGATAATTGAAGACCTGGAAAAGCTGGGGTCGTACTCGTCGCAGAGCCAGTGACATTTATACTTTCCCTCGTCTGCTTCAGTAACGTTAAAAATGGTGAGAATGAAATCTTTTTTGCATCTGGTGTTGGTTCTCCTTTCCTGTATATCATACTTTTCACTTTTCACTATTTTCCCTGAGTTGTTGTTAAAATACCACCCTAAAGAATTGTCCCAACAGTCGCTTGGCCTAACACCTACTTCGCACTCTAAACTGATATTGAAGTAGGCTTCCACCGAAACCGTGGGAGAAGATCTCTGCGGAGCTTTAGGCAAGAAACCTGTATCAGATGATAAGAAGATATGATGACCAAATATTATTTTAAAATGGTTACCATTTTTTCGTGCAACCGTAAGGGGTAACATTCTTACTCTTACCCTCCCCTCCTGAGTATTTGTGACAATCTATGGGGAATCACAACGCTTTGGAGTTTTTACGTGTTGATTTTGTTTATTCCAGTGGTTCCTTCTTTTGCGACTTGTCTCGTCACGCCATCTTTAGAGACGCTCTAACGATCGGTTGATCGCTTGACAGCTTGGGCTACGCCCAGATCGGTCTCCTTTAGGGGTTTAATTCAAAATTTCCGACGAGCATCCCCTCTCTTTTCATATGCAGAGTCCCCCCCCCCCCCCCCCCTTTTTTTTTTTTCCGGTGGTTTCTTTTTTTGCGATTTGGTTCCTCCCGCCATCTTTAGAGGCCGTCTAACGGGGGGTTGTTCGCCTGGCAGCTTGGGCGACCCCCCGATTGGGCCCCTTTTGGGGTTTTATTCAAAATTTCCCCCGGGCATCCCCTCCCTTTTCAGTTGCAGGGGCCCCCCCCCCCCCCGGGTGTTACGGACAGTTTGCTTTGGAAAGAAAGCCCTTTCATTTTCTACCCGCTTAATAAGGTCACCCCGTGAATACAGACACTCTCTTAGTACGGTCCCTTCAGTTTTGGGATTTACGGGGTTTGACTGTATTATTTCTGGGCGGAGAGTATCGCTTATTATTGAAAATTGAATTATTAGAGAATGCAATTCTAGAGCTCTGATTGGCTTAGCCATCATGGTATATGAGCCGTTATACCATGCTCTTCAAACATGGTAACTGTACGCGTCTGCTCAAAATCAAAAACAAGATGAAAATCGGTTGGTTTACAAATAAAGTTGGGAAGAATTCTCGATATTTTGTTGGCGTTTTTAATAGAGTAATTATTCCACTCGCGCTTGTTGGATATGAGATGATTAGAGCCAACTCGGTGCTACGCGCCTCGTTGGTTACCTACTTATGTAAAGCACACTCGCGGAATAAGTGGAATAATTGTTAATTATACCGAAGACTTCGTTATGTAGAGGTTCTACTGAATTTCAGGTGAGAACACTCCCCTCTCATTAATGACTGTCCTGTGCTTGATTCCTCAGGCAACATCATATGTGGCCGGCCGGGTTGAGTTTTGTTGCTTCTCACCCTTATTCGGCCATTGCCATCAAAACAACACATCACTCCCACGTTAAACCCGCCAGCTGCGCAGGGTAAATTTGAGCCAGAATGGTAGACAAAGAACAACTATGTGGATGAGCTAGCGCCACTAAATCATTATTTATTTATTTACTTATTTACTTATCCCTTGTGACCCGGGGGGTAAACAAATGAAAGTTCCTGGCACGAAATTTTCAGTTACATTTTTTAAAATTCATTTAGGAATAAGTTAATCTGTTATTTGAAACATGAAACACCCAATATTAAATTCCGTCTAAATCAAGAGAGAATGAGCTGTCCCTCTTAGTCTTAATGGGATACTTTCCATTGCTTACAAGGGAAACATGGTATTATGTTTTTTATGAACATGCTTCAAATATGGTAGTTTTGCGCATCCGTGTGTTGTATTAGAAATAATAAATTAAATGACTCACAGCGATAATTCAGGTCAATATCCCCTGCTTTTTTACTCGACCAGCCGGTAATGTTGTTCATTCCAGTGCATTTATAAGCCCCTCGGTGTTTTTCTTGGATATCAGCATTACGGAGAAGGGAAATTAAGGTATCCTTTCCATCCAGCTGCTCTGAGATGTAAAAACCTTCAGATCCGTTGATGATTTGTTTGTTATCTGGATTGTACCAAACTACACGAGGACGAGGCCATCCCTTGAAGGTACACTTCAGTTCCATTTCTCTCGTGTCAGGATAGTAGTCAACGGGAGAACTTGTCTTAGATACTCTCTTAACTGGAACTAAGAAGGAATTCTTCGTCTTAATTTCAAAGATCCTAAGTCATACACCCAGTCATTAAACTAGGAAACTTAAGTGACCAACTCAAAAGCCAAACCTACTATGGCGTCTGCGTCTGATTTCACCTTTGATCAGGATTTATGTAAATTAATGTTTTATTTTTTTCTTTCTTTTGTAATGTATTGTAATTCTATTTTGTAGTAACCTCTTGATTTATTCAGATTTACCATTTTAATCTCTCAATGCCCACAAATAGCAAGAAAAAACGATTTTTTAAGATGAAAACAACAGTTGCTGCACGTGCATCAAGGTACTTAATACATTTCTTTGACGTTAACTGCACGACTATGAGGTGAAACCTCCTAATACGACGTTTTATAGAGAAAGTGTACATACGATGACCAATTCTCCCTTTTCTTTCTGAACCTGGGTAAAGTCCTTAAGAATTCAACTCCAAGAGAAATCGCCTACATTTGACAAATTAAGCAGCTCCAAATAGACGCGACAACATTTGAAATGAGGCAAATTTAATTTTTTAGCGACATTTTCACTGCCGTCGTCGTCGTCGTTGCTTAGCTCACGATTTTTAAGATAACTACAGTCATCTCACTTACCGACACCTTCCAACCAACCATGTTTTACTCCATTCCTTGTTCATTTTAAATAGGCCCTTCGCAGTAAGTCACTTTTGTGGCACAAACCTGCCATGCTGGAGAGCGAGGCCCTACGCACGGAGTCAAGCCAAACAAAAAGCTAACATCACTTAGAATGATTCCTTTGTCTGTTGTTTGTCATGTCCCTTTGCTTTTCTCGCCCTCCAGCATGGCATATTACTAGAACAACCAAAGGCTATCACTTCGACTTGACTCTCGGTTTTAGCCACTCATCTAGGTCGCTAAGGTCAACTTATTTGGGCTGTAGCTTTAACTTTTGGCTGCTTCACCTTACTACAATTTTTGGTGGTAGCTTTGTAACAATCTGCTGCATTTTAGTTGCTGGTCTAAAGCCTGCTCCATGAATGTTCTCACAATATATGTTGCGCGAGTTGTCAAATTGTTTTGTTCCTGATCTACTGATATCTCCAGGAACGTATTGATCAGTGACTTTGAAATTAGAGCTGGGTTTTCAAATTGTTCAGTCAGCTTTTTATACTATTGCACAAAGACTTATATTTTGGACGTTCAGGGGCTAACAAAATTTCGCGCCACGCCATATGCATCTGCTACGATAAACACTAGAAACGTAGCAACTTTGTAATCCGCCTTGACATAACTCGCCGCAAAATACAATTCCACTCTTTCGATATAAGTTGCAATATCTTTTTTACCGTCCACATACTCTCCAACTTGACCTACAAGCGCCATCCTCGTCGCCAAAATTGTAATATTCTGGTCTTAAACAACAACACGAAACGAACCATTTGCTAGTCATTCTTTTAATGCAACTGCGCATGTGCAAAACCTGCCCTAAAATATAAGAGGTCTGGAACCTAATACATTACTCAACCCAGATGCAATGCTGGATTCTGATTCGGCTATTGTATCATGTGAAACGATTATGCAGATAAATGAGGGTGTTACGATTCGCCGTCCCTTTGATGGGTATCGCGACACAGAGTTGCTGTCTGGCACCTAGTAATAAATAGCCCCACACGAGTAGAAATTTCAGCTATAATTTACACTATAATTATTTCAAAAACAGAGGTAGACTTAACCCTCCAATTGCCCTATCCGTTTAAAAGGATATTTCAAGTGCACGTATTTACGGAATTCGCTGTCCACCTGTTTCGGTAGAGTACGACTTTTCCTACCCTATTCACAGACCTGAAGAGGGATGATTTAAAACAATAGCAACAACAAAAACATCCAAAACTCATGCACGAAAATGTAATTTCAGACCCTGTATCCAGACGGCGCAAAACCTTTCCCTGTTTCAGACCCAGACGGTTTTGAACGATTCGCTTACAAAGGGAGTACCCGCTCACGGAAACAAATGGGCTATGACGTCATGGTTTGCTGGAACTCAGCGTAAAATCACTTGCAAATGACAAATCATTGCTTCAAGTCAAGCACATTTGTTCCCGAAACATTATATGAAAAGTTACAGGCAAAAAAATGAATTTTGAAAAAGTTTTAGGTCATTTGAGTTTTCAGAAACCTCAGAGTTAACGTGTTAAAAAAACTATTCATGGAATTTTTATATTTAATCTTGCTGGCAAAAGTAGGAAAACCGTAAACGCCCAACAGGAAGCACAAAAATATCCGCTTTGTTCGAGTTTTTATAAGTTTTTTACCGACCGCCGTACTCCAAGGATCAAAGTGTTAACAGTTTACCTGCTACCCGGACCGATTTAATGCTTATTCCGAGGACATTTTAGAAAACTCGCCATAGAAGTAAGTGAACTTTATGTTACCTTCGCCTTTGTTAATTTAGTCTTTCTTTCGTTACCTTTTAAACAGAGTTAAAAGAGCTTAAATTGAGTTTGTTTCAAGAAGCACGTGATTTCGCTTGTATCAACGTTTAGCTTTTATCGGCATTTTTTCCGCTTTTTCTAGTTTCATTTATCAATTATTTGATTACACTTCTTGAATAGAATATATTTGTTCAATTTGATTTTAGATCGAATGAAATTACTGTTATACAATTGCGAGTTATTCTTCGGATTAAATTCGTCGTTTTCTTATGAAACACTTAGTTGCAATCAGGTTCAATCCTTCAAGCTTGTCCTCACATGATATGACTCCTTTTGCATTTGCTGTGTTACTGTTTTGAGCCCGACGGGGGGGGCTTCCGTTTAAGAGGCTAATGGGGATGTGCCGCTGGATGGGATCGCATTTTCACGTCTGGATTGACTATAATGGTGTCGCACATTTTCGGAGTTTTGGGGGTAAAACAGTTCTTCATATTTATGGTTAGCAAACGTACCTGAATGTTTACACTGCAGATTAAAAGTAAAGTGTTCCTCATTCAATCTAAAAAATGGGTCAATTCATTAAAATAGAGAGCGACTAAGTTGGGATCGCGAAAACTACACATTTGCCCAAAAGTGACTAAGATGGGGTCTATAATTGGCCACAGAATAGACTATAATGGGGTAGGGGCTCTGAGAGGCCAGCGGCAAGTACCCAGCAAAAATTTACCCAAATAACACCCTTCGCTCCCCTCGGGCTTTTGAGCGGTTATTTTCATGTTTCACTCAATTTGGTGGCGTTTTCGACTGTTTGAATTTTGATAAATTTCGTGACACAAGGCCTTTAGATATAACAGGAGTATCAGTACCTGGAAATACTTTCAACTGGATAGTTGAAGACCTGGAATAGCCGAAGTTGCAGACATAGCGACATTTGTACTCTCCTTTGTCTGCATCAGTAGCGTTAACAATGGTGAGAATGAAATCTTTTTTGCATTTGGTGTTGGTTTTCCTTTCTTGTATATCATACTTTTCACCAGATTTTAATTTCACTGAGCTGTTGTTAAAATACCACTGTAAAGAATTGTCATCACAGTTGCTTGGGCTAACACCTACTCTGCACTTTAACGTGACTTTGAGGTAGGCTATCTTGGAAACCTCGAGAGAATTAATCTGCGGAACTTTAGGCAAGAGACCTGTATTAGATGATAAGAAGATATGATGAGCAAATATTGTTTGAAAATCGTTACCATTTTTTTGTGCAACCATAGGGGGTAACATTCTTACTCTTACCCTCCCCTCCTGAGTATTTGTGACAATATATGGGGCATCAAAACGCTTTGGAGTTTTTACGTGATGAGTTTGTTTATCCCACTGGTTCCTTCTTCTGCGACTTGTCTCGTCACGCCGTCTTTAGAGACGCTCTAACGATCGGTTGATCGGAGGTACCCCAGTTCTCTTACCTCCCACCAATATGGCCTGTACTACTAAGTGTTGAAACAACCCCGCAACACTTTACATTGGAATCTCGATATAACGAACAGCTGAACGAAGACCTAAAGGACTGGCAAAATATGCTCACCATTAAGAGGTTTTGTTATATCGAGGTTCCTTTTATTTATTGTACAGTCAAACCCCGCTCCAATACGGACACCCGCTCAATACAGACATCTCATTGTTACGGACAGTTGGCTTTGTCCCCGGGGAAAGAAAGCCCTTTCATTTTCTACCCGCTTAGTAAGGTCATAAGGTCACCCCGTTAATACAGACACTTTCTTAGTACGGCCCGTTCATTGTCGGGATTTACTGGGTTTGACTGTATTATTTCTGGGGGGGAGAGTATCGCTTATTATTTAAAAATTGAATCATTGGATAATGCAATTCTAGAGCTCTGATTGGCTTAGCCATCATGGTATATGAGCCGTTATACCATACTCTTCAAATATGGCCGGGGGGGGGGAGGGATTCCCATATGAAACAGACGGGGATGCTCGTCGGAAATTTTGAATTTAACCTCTAAAGGAGACCATCTAGGCGTGGCTCAAGCTTTTTGTGACCCCTAAAGGAGGCCAATCTGGGCGTGGCTTAAGCAAATTTTGACCCCTAAAAGAGACCGCTTTAAAAAAATACACAAATACGACATGCCATGAGTTTTAATGATTTAAAGATATAATCATCGAATGCTTTTATCTAAAAGTAGTTTTTAAAAGCATTGTCACAAATCTCAAGTTCTTCGCGGAACCCTAAACGAGACCTTGGCGGCTTAAAATATTGGCGCTTTGCCCGGAACACCCTAAGCGAGACCAAAATCCAAAATTTACACCCCTAAGCGAGACGACGAGCATCCCCGTCTGAAATATGGTAACTGTACGCGTCTGCTCAAAATTAAAAACAAGATGAAAATCGGTTGGTTTACAAATAAAGTTGGGAAGATTTCTCAATATTTTGTGGGCGTTTTTAATAGAATGATTATTCCACTCGCGCTTGTTGGATATAAGATGATTATAGCAAACTCAGTGCTACGCGCCTCGTTGGCTAACTACCATCTCATATCTAACGCACTCTCGTGGAATAAGTGGAATAATTGTAAATT